CGGGGTGGGCGCTGCCGCGGCGGGCGCGCGTTGGTGCTTCCCGACTACCTGAAGCGAGCGGGGGAGGCGAGCTGGGCGTTCCCTGCGGTGCTGAGGTATCGGCAAAGTTTGCCTTCCCCTCCGCAGAGGCCGGCACCCCCAGAGGCGCAGGCGGCTCCTCAGCAACAGCCCGGGGCGCTGCCCGATCCGCGGAGCGCCGCTGCCAGCACCGCCCGGTTTGAATTCGGGCTGCGCTTGCATTTGCACGACGAGAACATTCGCACTGCTGTCGGACGGGCGCCCGCGTGCCCGACCCGGCGCAGCGCAGCGCTCGGCCGTCCCGGCGGTCCCTCCCGGCTCCCCCGGCGAAGGAGCCCCGCTGTGCCCCGTCCCGTCACCGTGAGCCCAGAGCTCGCTCCGCTCCGATCTCCGGCGCTTTAAGGCGGGTTTCTTTCATTCGTAGCTGCCTCCTGCACGCGCCCTGCCGAGCCGCACGGGCACAGGATGAGTTCGGCTGAGCTCCGACCTGCCAACCCAGCGGCACGCGGGCGCAGCTCGTCGCGGCGTGGCCGTGCTGCCCCCGTGTGACCGCGCTGGGAACGGAGCCCCGTGAGCCGCTGCCGTAGAGCCGCACGGCTTCACGCACCCTGAGCACGGCCGGAGCCCCAGCTGCTGCTCTGACTGGGGTACTGCTTGCATGGGGTGGACGTTTTTATTTTTTATTCCTGCTCGGGGAACATATTTAATATCTGTGTTTTAAAATACACGTGTATTCGGGAGAGAAAGGCTTTCTTTTACTGGCTCTCATTTCCTGAGAAATAATTAGAACAAGTTGAGCCAAGGAAAACCTCACTCGGGAGTCATGACGGTAGGAGCAGCCCGGGCTGTGGTGACACGAAGCTCCATCACCAGACCCTGGGCAACAACGGCCACCCCCACACCAGCACCAAACACTGACACCTCCACCCACCACCTCGCAGCCAGCTCCAAAGGCACAGCTGCATGAGCCGAGGGCAGGAGGCAGCTGCAGCCCCACTGTGACACCAAGGCAGCTCCCTGGCAGCTGAGGCCTTTTGGGCACCCTGGATCCCTGCACATCATAGGCCCAGCAAACCCAGGTACCAGCAAACAGAAAGTACACCTAGTTACCCAGCCCCAGATAAAAAGAAGGGAAGAATTGCCTCTTAGGGCCTTGGTTGCCCAGAGAAGCTGGGGATGCTCCAACCCCAGAGGTGTTCAAGGCCAAGCTGGGCAGGGCTTTGGGCAGCCTGAGCTGGTGGGTGGCAGCCCTGCCCAGGGTTGAAGTTGGGTGGGCTGTGAGGTCCTTTCCAACCCAAGCTATTCTATGACTCTACAACTACACCAACCTTTCCCAGCAACACAAAGGTATAAGCATTGTCATCAACTTGCTTCAATTGAAAGAAAACCCCAGAAGAAGCTTCCCCTACTCACACTGCTTTGTGTGAGCACGAAACATGAGCATTTTCAATCAAGTGAAGGCAGAGAAAACAGTCTCAAAACTGAGTTTTAACTGTTGCTCACCTCATGATGCAGTGCCAGCCAGCAGCTTTGCGCCCACAGGCACAGCACTGGAAGCAGCACTACCATGCAGTGTGGCCCAGCTCACTGCCTGCATGGTGAGATTCTTGCATGCTAGGCAAGAAAAAAGTGCTCTTCCTCTTGGCTTAACATGTGGGTTTGGGTTTTATATTATTAGTGCAAATGAGCAGAAAATTAAAAATGCATAAAAGAGTATTTAGAAGATTTTAGCATATTGCTTACAACACTAGTTGACGACTATACTTGCTTGCAGCATTGCTATTTTACTTAGCATCAAAAGTGCAGATAAAGCCTGACTTACAGGGTTCTCCCCTCATAGTCTGAGCTGTGTGAGCTCAGCCAGCAGCCCAGGCAGGGGATGGGCTGACTGGTGCTTTGGCAGTATGAGGCATGCCAACACCCAACTGCTCCTACAGGGCTGTTCCTGGGGTTTGGGCAGTAAGCTGTGACTGTGGGGTGAAGCAGTGCAGTGTTAGTGGCAGTGAGTTGCTTAAGAGAGCCATTAATCTCCATAGTGACCAGATGAAATAACAGTGGCCCCGACAGCCAGAAAATGCTATGAATGTTAACAGCGTTAGAGATTTTTGATGTTCAGTTTGGAGGAGCTGCTATTTAGCCACCCAACTAAGGCGCTAATAGATTACTGAGCTCTAGCTATGCAATTGTTTACAGTTTATACTTTTTCTCCACCCAAGGTTTCATCCAACTGAAAGTACAAAAAGCTTTTTGCCACTTTTTCCACCCACTCCCACAAGGGCTTACAGCAGATAAACCACTACTGAATTTTGAGTATTTACCAAGGCTTTTCCTTTTACCATGAGCATACCCTAGTCCACAGTGAAAACCTCATCATCCTGGCTCACTGTTGTGATTGGGACGGTTCGCCCAAAAGCACAAAGTGGTTCTGTAACACAGCACATTAAGGACACAGAGCTAACAAGGCACTTCTTGCCCAGGAGGCAGATCGCCTCTGATCAGAAGAGGATTTTGGAGACAACTGCATGACATTTTATAGTGGTGCTGTCCTTGGGCTGCCCAAGTACGCGCTGTACACTGACACCTGCATTGAAAAGAAGAGGGAAAATTGATCAGTTTGAGAGCTCAATTGAGCAAACCAGAAAAAACACTGTACATCTGTTCAGCTATTGACCTGGTTAGGACAGGCATACGCTTTCCAAGTTCTCCATGCAAGAGTTCAGCAGAGCTGACCTGCTATCAGTTCTATACCTAATTTTGCAGAAGCTTCTAAACTTAAGCAGCTCAGAGTAAGCTAGAATTGCCTTACTCCTATAAAGTTAGGGAAGGAAGGAGCATGCTGTTCTCTGGAAAAAAATTGTGAAGGCTAAAGCAACACCTGGCATACTCACCTCCTCACTGCAGCGCTCCACAAATGCAGCACAGGGTCATGAAGGTTAGATTCCTGAGGCCAAGTAAGAAACACAGCAACACAGCCCAGTCAGTCACAGGGATTGCTCAAATGCTCAAATGCTGGTGAAGAGGAACAAAACCTTACTGTCTTAGAGAAAGGTGCAGAAAACGTGAGTGACCTGGAAACAAAAGATGAGGCTGCGCAATTACGCCTGTAAGAGCCTTATAGGGGCTGTATGAAAATGGTCGTCTCCTGCCACCTGGTGAAAGCAGCATTCTAACAGAGCTTTTGGAAACCCAACGGGAAACCCTTTGGGTTGTTTTTTTCCCCTACCTAGAAAATTGAACAGCTACAGTCATCTGTTTCTACCTATTGTAAACAATACAAGAATGTGCTTTGCAGGCTCAGTTGATTTAGGAGCACAAAATATCAGCGTTCAAGCTCTCAGCCCTGAGCTCAGAAGTGATCCTGACGTGAACTGAAATCTGCCATGCCATTGACAGCAGGAAACCTCACACTCTGCACCCCGCCATCTCCCACTGCTTCCCAGCAACACACCCACCCAGGTAGGTGGGAGGCTCCAGGCCATGGCAGCACCCTGCCTCACTGCCTTCCCAAGCCCAGCCTGGCTTGTACACAGGTTGTGCAGCCCTACTGCTCGGTGTGCAGAGCTAGCAGTGCCTGCAAGCAGTCACCATGCATTCACAAGGTACTGGGCAAGGAAGATAGGAACAGCCAGCCAGCACCAATTATGCATTTTAACTGCTGGGATTAATGCCAGAAATCCATTTACTGCCCCTTCCCTCTCTCCCTCCCTCCCACTCTCTATTATATACCTGAATAAGAGTTTTCAGAAAACAAACTTTTATAGTGCATAATGTATTTGCATGCTACAGCATGGATGCATTTTCCTATATGATTACTCCTAATTTCTCATGAAACCCTGCACATTACTGCTTGTTTACCCTCTGCTGAGGCAGTCCAGGTACCAGCACCATCAGCAAGTAACAGATGACATAACAGACCCTGGATTACTTCTGTTAATAGGTAAGGACTGGGAGGGGGAAAAAAACCCACAAAATTATCACTGATGTCAAAGAGAAAAAGGCCACTAAGCCTAGAGTTCAACATATAGTCCTGTTAAGAACATGTAGGTGGAGGAGGTGTACCAGGATCTGGATTTCAGAGGCCTGTGATGAGAAGATGCATGAAGTCTTCCCAGCTCCCCCATTTCAACCTCCCCCCTCCCAAGCAGAAAGAAAACAGTAAATGTGCACGGTAGGCAGCACGTAGTCAGCTTCTCAGGAACACAAGCAAATATGGGTGTACAGGTTTTGAGATGATGGACCAGGAAGAGGTTCACAATGCAAGCAAACTGAGGCTTAACTGTCATACCTCCTCTTATGGATATTGCAGTGAGAATAATGGAAAACCCAAGGTCCTCCTGGTAGAAGAGGACACACAAATCCTTCACACCACAACTGTACAAGGTCTTAACAAATAAAGAGAATCACATCCCACATCCATCCCACTTTAATCTTCCCTTCTTGAAAGAGTCAACTGCAGACTTGATTTCATTCCATTGTGCATAAGCACAGTCAGCTTCTTAACATGCCTTGTAGGAAACTGTCATCCCTTGAGTGTATTTGTGTTCTGCACAATAATTGTATTGCACAGCTTTACACAGTGCTGAACCATGAAAGTCATGGCTAA